CTTGTTTCAAGAAGGCGTCTAGGTGCGTCTTTTATGTCGGAGATATCTCGAAGACACAAGTTTTCTTATTTGGTGTGATGTAGGGCCAATGCGGATTGTGGAGTGTCTTGAGGCTTTCTTGGGCTCTTGATGGGTTCTTGAAGTTGTCTTCAGCTGAGTCCACGCAGATCAAGGCTTGACTTGATGTTGGGCTTTGTCCGGCCGATGTATCCTCTTCGTTAAGCTTGGCTGAGTTAGTTTCAAGGCTCTTCAACATGTTCTTCGAATTTCCACATTCGTTCTCCAAAGTCTCACGCTCGATCTCCTTTAAAAGTTTGATTGGTCGATGAAAAAGAAAGCTCATGTCATTTTCTTGCACCAGTGTTGGAGGTGAAACCACACCCCCGGTTTTCTCTGGTACAAACTGAGATCGGCATGAGTAAACCCGGTTAACGATGGAAGAATACCGGGAGAACTGGGACGAACGAACTCCAGGGCCGACCTAGGCCCATGAACACATAATCGGTGGAAACTTCCTAAATGAACAAGGAAAGTTTTCCCTTTCAACCTTGAGGAAAGGAAGCTCTCTAGAGTCCCACATCGCAAAGGGAGAAAAGAACCTCACGGAGGACCGACTTAGGTTCCATATAAAAGGGAAGGGGATTCGTCACCAGGAACACTCAGTTGAGTCAGGGGAGACTAAGAGATTCAAAGCTAAGATATTCTAGGCACCTCGATTTCTAAGTCCCAGTTTGTTTGTAATCATCTTATAAACGAACTCAGTTGTATTTCTCCGATCTGATATTAATAAAACCAAATTTCGATCTAATTACTGTTTTGCCTCTTTGTGTGATATTACATAACAACCATATCGATTTGGTCCTTCTCTTGGTCTCTCGGTTGGAATTGATCCTTTGTTCAACTTCTGCATGGCTGAGTAGTTCCATTTGTTTGAGTAGGATCCATATGGATTTGTCAAATAAATCACAAGCTGCTCTAGTCCTTGACCGTGTGCGTGGAGCCTCCCTCATGACTGGCACCGTGATGTCTCGACCTGAATCTTCTCTGGCTTCATCATCTTTGGGTTCGATGTCCTCATCATAGTATGGACGTGTTTCTTGGGATGTGCTTTCATTCAGATAGATTATCTCATCTTTTGGTGCTCAGGGAAACACTTGGTTTATATGTTTTCCTCTGGTTTATCTAGTTGATCGTACCCCCGGCTAAGTTTGATTAGAGGATGAAAATGATGATAGTGATGGTGATGATGATATTTTATGGTCATGATTTTTTTTGTCATCAGCCTTAATACCTAGAACAACTCAGTAGTCCAAACCGATGGTACCAATTTCCTAGACATATGTCTTAGGGGTAGACTCGAGCACTCTGTTCTAAGTTATCTGCCTTTGTGTTCATGGCGGGTGGGATGAGTGTTCTTGAAAAGAAGGTAAAAAATTTCTTACTCCTCTTAATTTCCTCTATATGTAAAGCAAAAGTTGATCAATCTTTGGATGCAGACAGCATCTTTACCAACTCATAACAGTCTGCTGCAAATGCAACCACCATCTTCTGATTTGCTATTGTATAGAGCATAACCCATATGAGAGCTTCTAGTTTAGCATGTAAATGAGTAAGGCTTTGGCATACATTCTTTAGTCCCATTATTGTCTCCTCGACACCTTCCTGAAAAAAATATCATTCTAAATCTAACAAAACATTCGTCTCTTTCCAAGAGCCATTAATATAATACCACCAGCATTCATACTGCAAAATACCGGATTGTCAGAAGAATTGATTTTATTTGAGATACTGTTTCTTGTTCAGTCCTTTGGGCCTCCTCCCAGATTGCCGCCTCAGCTTCCGCAATTTCCAGAGTTACTTGTGCATCTCTGCCCACATTCAAGTATACCTTACCATTTTTTGCTTTCAAAATATACCACACAATCTAGGATAATTGTGTATTTTTTTCTGCTTTGAAAGTCTCCAAAAAAGATGGTCATAATTAGTGTAAACCAACAACATTGAAAAGACACCTGGGGGTGTTGGTAATTAAGATAGAACCCAAGTTTGTAATACTGGTGGGCATTCGAAAAGAACATAATTAAGAGTTTCTTCCTCCGCTCTACACCTTGCACATCGTGAATTACAATGAATTCTTCGAATTCGTAATCTGGCCAACACTGATAGACATCCCAATATTGCTTGCCAAATAAAGTGTCTTAATTTCGGTGAACATTTTTATTTTCGTGTATATGCTTGTTGTTTCTTTATATCTGGACCATAGAAGATCTTAGAAACATAATCTGAAATTGTAGTTCAATTTGATACCCCGAGTACCGTATATCTTCTCGACTTTGTAAAATACCAACCAAGTCAATCAGCCTTACTAATGGCTGATCTCGGGCGAGAACTTGGTATCCAAGGATCATTTCATACTGAGATAGAACATCCTGAACCAATTCTTTTTATTAGCACTTTGTAAACCAAAGATCTAGTCGAGATTATACTTCACCATCCATATGACGGAGAGTATGATCATATTGGATCCAAGGGATCTCTGTTCCAGAAATATCGTCTCTTAAATACCCGCACAAACAATAAATTTGGTCTATCAATCAGTCGCCATAATTGTTTTGCCAATAATATCATATTAAAATAATCCGCAGTTCGAAACCAATACCCCCTTCTGTTTTGGTGCGGCACATTTTCGTCAACGCTATCCAATGCAATCTTTTTGCTGGCCATTTGACCTCCACCAGTAATGTGCCACTCCACTAGGTAGCCTTGCTGTTGTAGTATTGGGTAACCGAAAGCAAAACATAACAAAAGTAGGGACAGCGGATGCCACTGATTTAATGAAAACTTCTTTACCCCGTTCTTATAATGATCTCGATGTTCATCCATTAATTCGGTTATGTTGTCTCTCCACTACAAAATTAATGATCTTATTCTTTGCACCGCTTAGACTCTTTGGAATGCCTTGATAAGATATTGTGCCTCCATTATTAGATACTCCTAATAGTTTTGTTAGCTCATTTGGCACCACATCAGGTACCGTATGACCAAATTGTAGAGAGGATTTGTCAAAAAATTTATTAGTTGTCCCGACACATTCTCATACTGTTTTGGTATGTATAATATCTTTTGGCAATCCTCCTTATTAGCTTTACAAAATAAGCTATCAAAGTAAATGTATAACTAATGGACTTGCTTTCACAATCTTTAGACCCATTAGTAATTTTTCTCTTTCCACCTTGCTTATATCGGATATTAAGTATAAATATGGTGATAGAGAATCTCCTTGACATAGCTTTCTTTTCGGGTTTATATGTCCTCTGGGTTGACCATTAAAAATGACTTTGTATTCTACTGAGTTGATGCACCACATCATTTATGTTATTCATTTCTCTGCAAAACCAATTCTTCTCCAAAGATTTTCGATGAAAGACTATTCAACCCTATCATATGCCTTATTCATGTCTGTCTCGATCACCACATATCTACATTTGCATAATTTATTGGTTTGCAACCCATGAAACATTTTTTGGGCGATAAGAATATTATCTGAGATTAGCTGCTCTGACACAAAGACTGATTGAGTTTCTGAAATTACATCGAGTAACAACCGTTTTAACCTGTGACACAGTACATTGAAAAAGATCTTATATCATACCTCACAAAGGCTTATAGGTCGTAATTCTGTCATCCGTGTAGGTCAGTCTTTGGTATTAACCAGTTATTTGTCATATTCAATCTTTGATCGAAAAACCTTCGTTACCAGAAAACTGTTAACTAATCTCACAATATCCACCTTAGGTATTTGCTAAGATTGCTGGTAAAAAAGTGATATCACCCTTTATGGTCTCGGAGCTTTCTATGGATGCATCATGATGTGCGTACTTCTTCCCAGTGGCTATTGGCATGAGCATCTCATTATTTTGTTCCATAATTAATGGCTTTATCTCCCCCCAATACTTGCTCAAAATCCATTGGAGAAGTCGAAGTAAATAATTCATCAAAATAGTTAACCGCTACTTGTTCAATTTCTTTTTTGGATGTGACTCATGTACCTACAGCGTTATGCAATCCAATGATCCATGTACCAAACGAGAGAAGAATTTCTTCCATAGGCGGGAAGAAGGACTTTAAACGGCTGGCCGAGGGAACATCAACACCAAAAACTACATCTTCTTTAACTATGAGATGTCAAACATGAACTTTTCACCCAATAGAAGTCTTCACGAGAGTTGAACCATATGCTTGAGAAAGAAATGCAAATAACCAAACAGATAGATCTAAAAACGATGAACAGCATCGCTAAACAAAAAGAAAGATGAAAAAACAAATAAAACACAAGCTGAACCGACTCCGTGGCTTTGGAAGCCCACGGACATCGGCCGAAAACGAGATCTGGGCGGAGAAGACGAGGAGAGAAGCGAGAGGATAAGATTTTAAGAGAGAGAAAGAAAAGAGGGAAAAAAAAGTTTCATTCATCATCGTATGTACATACGTATCATGATCATAAATCCTTTTTTTTCCAGAACCACCGAGTGCCTTAAATATATATATACTAGATTTAGACCCGTGCTGTGCACAGGAAGTTTTTTTTATAAAGATTTCAAGTTTGGAGAGCATATACAATTTGAATTTTTATTTGTGTGTATGTTAATAGTTAGGTTATAAGAACAATTTTATATATTTGTCGCATTACTTGAATGTATATTAACTTGGTATGGTTTTGGTTATTTATAATTGAGGATGATATTATTTAAATTTTCAATGTTGTCTACATAATATATACGTATATAGTATTAGACGAATATATATACATATATATATATCGTAATGAGCAAACATCTATAGAGAATAATGAAAGCAATCTTTCTTATTAATAAATCCTGAATTTGACATAAGTACATAGAATTAAAATGTTGACTACTTCATTTGGTCACCTTTGTAGGTAAACGACATGAATAGTTGAACCTCCAACCATAACTAATAGGTGAATATGATATATGAGATTAGTCTTTAATCTCAATATCATTGTTCTCCATTTTATTGGATTTGAAGTACCTAAATAATTATATACAGATATGTTATTACTGGCATTTAGAAAAATATCAAATATTTATATAGTACTTACCTATCTTTGAACTTGTCAACTTCGACAATATGGGGATCAAAAAGAAACCTTGACATCCCTCTTGCATCTGAAACAGTCAATGTCCCTAAAACATAGATTTAACGTATAATTAATATTTGATCTAACCATAATAACTACTGTTATCATGATTAAATGTTAAGAACTTAGTTAGAAATAAACCATTGTTGTAAGCTATACGCCAGTCTGTCAATACACATGTTATATTAGAACCACAGGCAGACCACCATTGTGATTGGAAATCATCAGCCAAGTTACCATAAGCAACACAACTAATTTCAACATTCCTACAATATATTGACAAAATATATTGTTATCTTAATAACATACAATTAAATGGGTAACGATTCAAATACTTACTTGAGATTTTCTCAATGTAAATCGTAGTCGACTATAGTATCTACGAAAATCACCATCTAGTCCGTAATCCTTAATCCTTGTAAGTCGTCCAACGTGGACAACATCACCAAGTAAATCTAATATCACATAAAGTATCAAAAGATATTTAAAAGATTTTAAATTGAAAATCAATGAGAATTGTATAAGACAAATACCAATAGGATACTTATGATCAATAGTCCCATCCAAAATATCCTCAAACTCTGAGAAAGACATAAATTGAGTATCGGTGGGGATTTCAGATAGCCTTTTGACAGTAGTGTTCTGAAGTAGAAAAATCCTCCATTTATGATGAGTTGTTTTCTGAAACCAAAATGAATCATTTACAACAAAATTATGTAGAGTATTCCACTGTCCTTCTTGCAAAGCTTGATCATAATACGAAACCAACACATGATTAGTCATCGAAGCTTGAATCTTGCATCCATGAAAATTTCAGTATAAATATATTTAGATTTTTATGAATAATAATACTACTATGAAGTTAATAACAATAACTTACTTCTTCATCCACCAGAATAAATTCCAAACCTTCAATTCCTTGTGGACCAAGAGTTTCCCATATTTTTAAAACCAATATTTTGATTTTCCAGTCCGATCTCCATGAATGCAAATCGGAAACTCGGTGATAGAGTTCCATGGTGAAAGGGTATGATGTGGTATCTAGGTTTTAGACAACTGCAAAATCCAATATATATAGGAGGCTTTAGGTTTATAGTAATACAGTTAAATTAATATGTCTAATGGAAACCGAATATCTCGTATAAATATTTTCTAAGATCAGGATCTATATGTGTAGTTTCAAAATTAGAAACTAAAAATTCATTAATAAATTCATATATTATTTTTGATTAAATCTAAGTGATTTTTTATTTATTGGTGATATGATAGTACTATTTATATAGAAGTACAATGATATATATAAACTGTGTAATATAACAGAATAAAACTTTTTTATGTTGGTTGCGTGTTAAGGATTGGTAATACATGTCTATTTTAAATTTCTACTACTCATCAGCGAATAAAAAGGCAAAATATATGACTAATAAATAATGCAAAAAATTAATATTCAAATAATACACTTTATTGAAATCAAATTAAATATGGTAGGAAGAGAAACAAAGTCTTTATTAAAACAAACTTAGGAGAACACCACTCCTAACAAAATAAAAATAGAATATAAATTATAAGATAGCATAAAATAAGTCATAATCCTTTCTTCCTTGAGAACTTGAAGCACTCACGTATACTTCCGTCATCAGAATTTGCAAGCCTGAGAAGAATATTTTTCATGTAATTAGTCAGTAAACAAAAAAATCATAATCTAAAACTATTGAATGTTAATAACGATTATTACTTGATCCCAAAGCTTTTGACTTCATCCAATGGCGGGGCAATAGCAAAACGTGAAAGCGATCCCTCCTCGTAATTTTCAATTGTCATTTCATCTAATATATAAATAAGATAAGGCAATCAAGTTTTGACTATGAATAAGGTTGTCTTATAAATATGAAAATCATATAAACGCACCAATGTTTTTCTTAACCAACCAATCAGTTAAGACACAAATAGCAAATGGACTCTTCCCTACAGGACCTTTGCATTTCCCTTCTATCTCGTAAGCCAAGTCATCATGTGCAACACAGTTAAGAGTACAATTCCTACACAATATAATTATTATGATTATATTTTTTCTCAAATAATAATATAAAAACATGAAACCATTATATTACTTACTGCAGGTCTTTAATTCGGAATCTCAAAGTTGGAACACTTTTGTCATCGGGATAAACAACTGTTACCATATTGTCGACATGATCCAGAACACCAATCAAATCTGGTTTAAAAAATATTGTAGTACCACAACTAATCCAGAACACCAATCAAACCTGGTTTAACACAATTAATCATACAATACTATAATCTATAACCCTAACATAGTTAAATACATAATTAATAAAGATAAATGTTAATACTTACCAACTGGGTAGAAGTGGCTGTAAGGCTTATTGTAAACACGGCTGAAATAAAAAAAACGAAGGAAAGGATCTCCAGTCAAAGGTCAGATGGAACTGACCTTAGTTTCACCATCTAAAATTATTTGCTTAATGTGTCTTGTAGTCCGTTCTTCCCACTTGGAAGGAATTAGTTTGAATTTGGATAACTGCACCCAATTTCCTTCTTGCAGAACGTATTTGAAATAGGATAGATTGAGGTTACCAACGTAGGCAGAAATTCTGCAACCCTGTTAGGGTAATAGACACAAAAGAATATTAGTAAAAGAATATCAAGTAGTAATGATAAGAAAGATTGATTGAATTTAGTATCAAACTTACATTCTCATCAACCAATATGAAATTCATCACGCGAAGTCCTTGAGTGTCAAATGCCCCCCATCGTTTTAAAACCTTGACCTTGATTGTCCAACCATCCTCCCAAGATGGTAACTCATGAACCATTTGGTACTCACACATTGTGTTTGTGTATTGGATTTAGATGAATAAATTAGGTTGTGAAATAGGTTTATATAGGAGTAAGTTAGTATTTTATAAATGGTACGTTCCGAAAATATTTGAGTAGATACGATTGAATAGAAAAAGATTCGAAATCGTTAGTGATTTAAAGAAACTGTATATTGTTAGGTAGATATTATATGCCAGAATTAAACGATTCTGGATGGTTTTCTAGAATTTTAAATTTTAAATTTAGTTTGTGATGCAAAAAGTATATTATACAGATAAAAGATTCCATATTAGGAAAACTAAATTTTGAAAATCTAAAAGGTAATTTTTTAAGAAAACAAATATCTAATCAGATATTAAGGATGTTATGGGTTAGCTCGAGTAGGTAAGGAAGATGATTATACAATATCTAATCAGATATTCAGGATGATGAATATAAGGAATTAGTTTCCCTAATATCACATTTTGCTTTTAATATTATAATATTATCATATCCCAATTATATCGGCAAACTAATTATACTGTTTTCCAAATGTAGAATTATAAGAAGGCAGAAGTTTGGAAACGTAACACAACTTTCTGTATTTTTAAATACGGAATAATTAATACAAAATATCGAACATAAAATTGATTAATATGTAACCAAATATTTACCTCGTTCTAGAATTAGGTATGCATACGATTTTTTAAAGATATATTCATTAGTACATAATTTATTAGTTCTTTGTTTAAGTTAAATCGAAAGTATTCATATCAAAAATTAAGTTCAAATTAGGTGATATTGATAAAATAACAATGCAAACATTGTCCTATGTTAATTAGTTTCATTTGTTAAGCATAATTCAAAATCTGATTAAACATGCAACGATTATATGAAAATAAAAAAGATTTCAAATCATAAATTAAAAAGTTAACAGCAAATATTTAAAATTAAACGAAATCCGAAATAAGTAAAAGTCTTAACATTCAACAACATAGGAGGACATCACTCCTTTTGATTAAAGTCTTAAAAAAAAAAAGATAGATATTAAGATAAGATAAGGATGGGCCGAACTAAGCATCCCTTGATCTAGAAGATGAAGCATTGTGGGCCGAATCCCTCACCTTTACCCACATCCTGAACAAAAACATAAATAAAACATAACTAAGTATAAGTATATGAATCAAACGTATTATACATGTAATAAGTAAACAAATATAATTATTACTTGGCCCGGAGAGTGTAAACTTCATCGAGTGGTGGATGAACCAAGAAACGTGATATCTATCCTCCTTTATAATAATTGATAGTGATTTTATCTATATAAACAATAATTTATCATATTAAAATTATATCCAATCGATTATAATATATGGTACAAAAACAACACTAACTATACGATATTACTTACTGAAGCTTTTCTTGACCATCCAATCAGTCAATGCACATATGGGAGTTGGTCCATTCAGTATCTCACCGTTAGATTTTTCCTTTATATAATAGGCCAAATCACCATGTGCAACACACTTAAGTGTAGTTCCCCTAAAAATGGAAAAACATTAATACTAAAGGACATTTAAATAATAAAAACAAAAATATTTAACTTAAGAATGGCATTACTCGATATCATTGATACGAAAATGCAGAGTTGGAACCGTTTTCCCATAGTTACCAATAACTTCAACAATATCTCTGAATCCTTGTCGAAAACACCCAGCAAATCTGTATTTTAAACAGATAAATGACTGCATGGTTATTTTTATTTAACATAAATCTTTTTATGAATCCATGCAAACCACTAAGAAATACTGATGCATTTTACAAAAATTAACAATAATAGTAAAAGAGAACTAACCGATCGGATAATAGTGAGCATAAGGACGGTTGTGAACACTCGCAAAATCAACGAAACTGATGAAAGGATGGTCGGTTAATGGTCTGATAGAATTCACCTTTGTTTTCTGAAAGAGGATGATTTTGTAAGCATGTTTAGTGGATCTATCATTCCACCCGGAATTAGCCAAGCCAAACTGGGAAATCTGAACCCAAACTCCTTCTTGAAAGACATGTTGAAAATATGAGAGTTGTGTTTCATCAACGGTAGCAGCAACTCGAGATCCCTAAAAAAAAAAAATCTAAACAAATACACAACAAAGAGACTTTACAAAAATAGATAACTTATTTAGTGAAAACACGATACTTACACTTTCATCAACCAGGATAAGATACATGCCATCCTTTCCGTTTGAATCAACAGTCTCCCAACGCTTGAGAACTTTCCCTTTGATGGTTTGCTTGTATTCCTCCCATGGTGTTAAATCGCTAACCATTTGATATTCGGCCATCTTTTTTAGTCAGAGATATTGATGTTAATTTTGTAGGTTTTCTCTTTGTGAAGGATGAAGTTATGAAAGAACAAAGTTCCTTTTATATATAGAAGACCTAGACGGTTATTATGGTAAAGTTGCGATGGTTTGAAAACATTTAATTGTAGTAAATACAAAAATGGTTCATTTAATTTGTTAAAAAAAAGAATAAGTTCACCGAGTATAGTTCATTCGGTGTAAGATGTCAGTAGATGTCTCTGTTTATATTCCTGGTGCATAAAAAGGAAGTTACAAATGTAAAGATATAAATATATTTCTATCAAATCACATGAATATATATGCAAACTTTCAACTACTATATTTATTCATGGTTGAAAACTTCCTAAACTATATATTGGGAATCCAAGGGATATAACATTCTAAATGTGGCGAATATTTTTATTTCCTACAATATTTATAAACCATATACTATAGTATTAGTGATTAAGATATTTTATATTTTAAAGGAAGATCTCATTAGTGTATAAAATATATATAGATATGAAAATTGGAAAGTGATATTTATGTTAGTAAAGTTTCCTCAATATAAATGTATACATGCAAAAAAAAATATTAATGAAAATAGCACTTAATAAAAGCTGCAATCAGATATCGATCAAATCAATTCAATATCTTCACTTTGCATGCACAGGTCATAAAATTAAGTATTCAGCAACAAACCAACTACCATACAATATTAATGTAGTTGTTACTAAATTTTTAACATAGAAACATTGACTTAAATTTTTCTATGCGTGATTTTGCGTTCTTGATTTTTCAAACTTAATTATAATACGAATACATAAACAAATCACATAACCCTATATATAGTTCAACTGAATGTTAAACCAGTATATTTAAGATTCGATAGTTCATATTTGAAAACATGTAGTAAAAAAAAATTTAAACATTTTAAACATAATAGATATAATTATGGTTACTACATATTTAATAGAAAATTCATATAAAATAAGTATCTCCAATATTTAAAACATCACATAATATTAATTGTAGATAAAAACATAGAAACCAATACCATCATATAAAAGTAGAGAATTATACAAAGATAAGAAATTTGAAATGCAATCAGTCTCTACTCTTCACAGAAGATGGACTTGCCTCATCATCATTACTACTCAAATCAATGACATTGGTATGTTTGTTTTGGTTATTCCAAAACCTGCAGATAAATAAATTCATGTAAGCAGTTATTCAAAAAGCTACATATTTTATTATATTAGAAATTAACTGCTTATAACAAAATACCTCTTAACCAAAGTTTTGGCTTTTGGACAGTCAGGATGAAACTCGATTCCAGAAATCCCTCCTCTAGACCGAAGATAGTATCCAGCTAGGAAAATAATATAATTGTTATTTTCATATACAAAGCTATACAACATTAAATAATTAATCAATATTATTGGTATACAAAAACTAACCTTCTCCTTGTTTAACAGACCAGTCGGTTAACATAACATCAAATGGTAATTGTTTCTCACTGAAAATCTTGTCATTAAAATCAAGTGTAAGTGGTCCTAATGCAACACACGATAACAATAACCCTCTACATATAAATTTAAAATTTTAAAACAACAAATAAACAGAATATTAAATCAGATATTAAAAAATAATTGGAGCTTACTTGTAATCTTTCAATGTGAATGATATACTGGTAGTCTTCTTATCATGTCTCTCAGGGTAGGAATCATCATTAAAAGTAACCAGAGGATCAATACTGATAACAAAACTATGAATATCTGAAGAACTTTATAAATAAAAGAAACTTTAGTCTAAAATGAGATTATTAATAAAAGGCATAAATATACCGATAGGAAGACCAGCCTCTGTTTTAGCACCATGCACATCAGAAAATGAAACAAAACCTTATACAATTTTGACTTCGATAGGCTCTATGTCTTCTACTTCTGTGTTATTTAGAAACCTGATACAACTACCAATAGGAGAATTTGGTTCGCCTGATGTATCATCAAAGACCACGAATTCAGAAAAACATTTCTATTCACCCTCTTCAATTGTCTTGTCGAATGATTTGATTAAATCGGTAATATAGAGAAAAGCTTGAATAGTTTCACCCTGTATTTATTAATAATTTATAGAATACAAAAACCTGATTGAATATAGTATAACAAAAAGTTTAAAAGATAAGAGAATAATAACAAACTAAATACCTCTTCATCCATCAACAGAAACTGTAACGATGGACGTTCTCTTGGATATTTTACATGCCATTTCTTCAAAACTTTGCATCTTATAGTCCAATTTGTTTGGTCACAATGCAGATCTGAAATTAGGTCATAGTCTTCCATTGAAGGATATGCCAGAGAGCTTTTTCGGTTCTAGAAAATAGTAACTGAAAGTTTGAAAAAAAAGGGTAATGAGATCTCTCTTATCTAGGAAACAATAATGTCTTCAGATTGCTTTTTAAATTTGTGATATATTATTTTTTTCTAAATATCCAAATATGTCATCGGTTTATACAGTATATTTTATCATATCGAAAAAGGAACTTACACAGCCACTCAATATATGTATTGAAAACATAAAAGGAAAACAGTTTTATGTCATTGTGTTTTCTAATCAATAATAAAGCAGCAGAGACTATTTTATATTCAAATATGTACATAAGTGTTATAATATTAAAAAAGGAAAATGTATCACCGATTATTTCTCAAGATATATATCACGCTTGAATGAAGTAAGTCTGATTATCGAAATGTCTCTATTTTGGTAATTGCAGAGTTTGGAGATTATTATAAAACAAGCATAACATTAAAAATAGAAAAGTTACATATGTCAAACAAAACTTTATTTATTATTGATATATAAATTGAAAATTTAATAAGGAACAATCTAATAGTCTAAATAATTTAAAGGTGCTTATAGGAAATTAAAGGTGCACAGCATGGGTCTAAATCTAGTTATAGGTTGATTTGTGCTTGTGCTCGAGTATAACCACTTGCAGTTATTATAAATGCTGTCAAATGAAAACAAAATAGTGAGTAAGCAGAAAAATTATTGAGTTCGAATAAATATAAAACTTGTAGATTTAACACTGAGTACATACAATACTTACTATCATTTCTAATGGAAGATACATCTAATTCCTTGGAGACTGGTTTTACAAACTGCATCAATAGAGTTCTGATATTTCATTAACATGCATGGTATAAAATAATAGTATTAAATAAATATAATTTCAATACCTTCCACATATCTGATAGGAGTGATAGTTGTAGAAATTATGAACTGAATATTGAAAAGGGATGTTGTGTTAATGTATTCAGCATTAACGGGAATAAGAGTGAAATCTTCAATTACAAACCATGAGTTTTCTACAATACTATTTTTGAAGAATTGCATGTATTTTCTGTAAACTATAGCACAAATTGTATGGCCCTGTAAAATGAAGAAAGAGTAAAGGTTTTTGAAAGTATTCATTATGTAACATACTGAAAATGAATATAATGAAATCTACACTTTACCTCTTCGTCATATAGTTTCATATTAAGAGTAGTTCCTCAATGTGGAGTATATTGTTTCCACTTCTTAGTAATTTTAACCCTAATTTTCCAATCAGTAGTAGACGGATTTAAATCGGATGTAGAATCGTAAGTAGAAATCATGACGGTAAACAATATAAGGATTTCAAATGGCAGACAAATTTTAGACAATAGAATCTTTATATAATGGATAACTTCTGTGATAGGGTATTCAATTAAATAATATCTAATATGTATAAGGGAAACTAACTAATAGAGATATATTCGGGATATACATAGTCGATATCTTCGTGCAATATATGTTGTAATCTCAAATATCCGTAAATTAAATTCAGCAATGTTTTTAATAATCCATATTAATTAATATATGGAGAAAATCGTTTTTATTTAATGTTTAAACTAGATTCTAACTCCGTGCGTCCGCACGGAAATTTTTTATTTTATTTTTAATATAATTTGTATATTTATTTTTTTGTTTAAATATAAGTTGTTTATTATTTATTTATTTTTTTAAATCAAGAATATTTATTTTTCAATTTTTCAAATATGAAAAATAATGAGAATAAGATGTGTTAAACTTTTCATCAATTTATCACTTATTGGACATTTTGTTATTATGTTTTAATTTTAAATAGTATAGATTTGTATAATTGTAGAATAAGAATATGAGTTAATTAAATATATTTCGATCTAATGTTAATTATAAACTTTGTTATTATGTGATTTTAATTATGTAAATTTAATTATGTAATTTTAATTATGTGAATTTACATATAAATAATTTATATATCTATGATTTGGCAAATCTATCTGTTTAGTTGCCTTAAATCATTTTTTAAATTTAAAAGTACAATTTAAATTTATAAATTTAAAATTAAATTTAACCTATATTTAAAGAATTCTAAAGTAATTAAAATTATTACCTAAATTTTTGTAATAAAAATTAATTTTTTTTAATTTTAAATTAAATTAAATCTAAATTTTGTAATTAAATATAATTATTAAAAATCTAGAATAATTTGAAATTTTATTTAAATATGACTATAGTTCAAGAAATTTATAAATATCTAAATTAATAACTAATTTTCGAAATTAAATATCAATATAAAATAATTTTTTAAAATTAATTATCATCTATATTTAAGGAGAATCTAAAAATATCTAAACTAATCCTAATTTTCGTAATTAAATATAAATATAAAATAAAATAAGTTTTAAAAAACTATGGGAGTGTTTGGAAGCAAGCACTAAATGTGCTTCTGTTTTAATATAATAGATAATGAACTTGACTAACTTTGAATAATTTATGTTTGTTTACATATGAACCTGTTATGAAGTGATCATGATATTAGTCTGTCAAAAACTCAATTACATATAACGAAAATAAGTAACCTACGACTATATAAACAAATTATATGTTGATATATATCAAAGTAACATATGAGCTGTGTGAAACAA